CTTGAGCTTCCAAAGTTTATTTTGAAATCATTTCGACTAGTTATAAACATAATGCTATTCATCGAAATAATTTTTACAGCACTTAAAAATGCAACCGCCATGGGTGAAAAATGTGGTATTATTGATAACTAAATAGTACCAGCAATTATTCAAAATAATGCAAAGAAAATATACTTTTTACATTTCTATTAATTTTAATTATTAAAATAATAACAAAATATTAAAGAAAAAAAACTATTTTTAAATAAACTGAAACTTATTCAATTAAAATAAGTTTTCAGGAATATTAAGCAATAATTATTTGTGGAAATAATTTTAAAAAATAAAGTTGTAAATTTAAATGTTTTTCAACGCAACTTTGAAATACTTTTTACTTTATATTTAAATATTTTTTGAAAAATCACTTGGTAATTAAAATATATCTTTCGCTTCATTTAAACGTTGTTACCATAAGCTAATTACAGCAACTGTTTGAAGATGAGAAAGTAAGTCATAATCAGCAAAATACAGACTTCTATAAGATATTGATTCAAAACAAAATTTATTCAATAGTAAATTGACCTTTCATTTTTAAAAAATAAGAAAAAAATGTAGAAAAACATTGAAAATATTTGCCATTTAAATTATAAATGAAGAAATTCACTCAAAAATGATAAAAAATTAAGATTTTAGTAAAATTACGTTATATTATATTAGCTACATAAATTTACTTCGATGTTGTTTTAAAAGCAAAAAATATTCTGCCAACTAATCAAGCTTAATATTGTCAACAATATCTTTTTCGGCTTTGAGAAAAGCAGTGAATTTAGGCGTTCAGTGGTCATTGTTGTTCGAAGATAGTTTTTAATCAATTTCATACTGAAGTCGACGTCTTCAGGGGGTACCGGCCCCAGCAGCCATAAAACAAAACCTAGGGGCTGGCTAATGCCTAAAGTAAACACTCAGTACCCCGAAGGTTTTGTATAGAAGTCTAGGAAAAAACCTGAAATACAAAGAACCATTTTAGAAAAGAAACTCAAACAAAATCACAAAATAAAAACTCAAAACTCACTTATAACCAGGCCAAACATCAATTTCATAAGCACACCGAATGAAAGGGAAACACTTAAAACTAAAGAAAACAACGCCTTCTATTACATTGCGCAGATTGAGAAAAAATCCAGAAAAAGATACGTAACTAATTAATAGAATGCTTAACTGGGGCTGCTCAATTAAGTCTTGAATTGCGCCCTGTTAAAAGAAAGAAAAGAAAATTTTTTCAAAGAAGTTTTATCTATTTAGTAATTAAAAATTTTTTTGTTTTCTTTTAGATTAATTATTTCAATCTCAGTATTTGACCATTAAAAATTACACATTTTTATACATTCTAAAATATATGCTTTACAATGAAAAATTGTTAAAAATACTTACACCGTGAACTTATTTTAGAGTAAATAGGTGCAAACAGTATTTGATTCCCACTTTGGGGACATCCTCAAAATTGAAAAATAATATTTAAAGGTTTACATTTTTAATATGTCTTCTAATTAAACGAATTAAACCAAAACTTATCAGCTATTCCCACTTAAAGAAGGGTCTTAATATAAATCCGTCCAATTCTGCCCCATTTAAACATATTTATTTAACATTTCTCAATATAATATTTATTTATTTATTATATGTGCTTGGAAAAAAAAACTTTGATTCTAAATTATGAAAATAAGTTTCTATCAATATCATGCTTATGTTAGCAATCGGAGGAATTTAAAAAAAAGAAAAAAGAAAACAACGAGAGAATATTGAGAAATTGATGTCACTGATTGAAGGGGGTAGAAATTTTTGCGCAGTTCAGGTCGACCCAAATTACCCCTTTCAATCAGTGATACCAACTCTCCTCCTGACCAAAATTCGTCACGGGAGGGGAAAGAAAGTAGGAAGTATGTACATTTCAAAGCTTAGAGGAGTAATTTAGGTAGAGAGAACCAGTCCCCCATCCCTCGTTGCAAAGAACATCGTCACGTGATTCCTGGACGATTTTCACTCCAGTAAACCCTCTCCCCATTCTTTTTCTATGGAGGTGAATTGATGAACTGTGTTTTTAACTATTAAATTTAAAAAAATTGGTGGTATACTGCTGTGCATTTGGATGCAACGAANGATATTGATAGAATCTTATTTTCATAATTTAGAATCAAAGTTTTTTTTTTTACAAGCACATATAATAAATAAATAAACGTTATATTGAGAAATGTTAAATAAATCTGTTTAAATGGAGCAGAATTGGACAGATTTATATTAAGATCCTTCTTCATGTCGGAATAGCTGATAAGTTTTGGTTTAATTAGAAGACATATTAAAGATGTGAACCTCTAAATATTATTTTTTAATTTTGAGGATTTCCCCAAAGTGGTTTGCGCCTATTTACTCAAAAATAAGTTTATGGTGAAAGTATTTTTAACAGTTTTTCATTGTAAAGCATACATTTTAGAATGTATAAAAATGTGTAATTTTTAATGGACAAATACTAAGATTGAAATTATTAAAATGGTATCTTTGCCACATACGATATCATCATCTTATTGAAATGTAAAAATATTTAAAAAAAATTTTTTTATTAATTTTTATTTATTTATTTTTATTTATTTATTTTATTTGCTTATTTGTTATTTTTTATAAGATTTCATCCTCGAATGAGTGAATTTTATTAATAAATGCAGAGAATTTTTGGTTTATAATAATTTGTTCTAAAAGCGAGATAAAACATATTAAAATAGTACTAAAATTGTTTAAAACGGTTCCAAATTTATCGTACTTGTCATGTTTGTGTGCCGTTTTGAAACTTAAATTATCATCTTCACTATTATATAAAATATCCTTCGCTATATTAGGAATATTGTATCTTAGTTCAGAATTTTTCGATTTTAAGATCAAAAGTTATTCAGAATAAAACGTTCTTTACATCTTTTTATTTCATAAATTTATTCCTGGGCTAAGATAATGGAATTTTTTAATGAAAAAAAAATTAAAAGACATTAAAGAATAATAGCCATAATGCTGTTAACAAGTCAGTTCTACTTTTCCAAGGGCTAATAGAAAATACCTTAGAGGCGATTTAAAAATAGATTCTGTTTATGAAATTTGAAAATTATCATTATCCATACCTAACACAGTCATTGACTAACATTGATCACTTACATTAAGTTTTGCTTTAATGGTTTCGTTGGATTACAATGATTCTTCGTAACTTTTATTAGCGAACATTGAATGGAATTGAGACATGTGAGTTTAACGAAATTTAATTCAAAGAAAGTTTTTGGTATTTATTTATAACGCTTTCTTTCCTTTATTTTAAATTCTTAAAAATCAAATGAAATGCTTAATATTGAAATGAAAATTTAAATTTTAAATATATTATATATATATATATAAAATTTAAATTGAGAAATATATAATTTAAAATCAATGTGTATACAAGTAAAATGTATTTTGAGACAATTAACTAGATTAATAAAGAAGAAAATAAAATTATTTTCAGCCAAAAATTTAAGCGATATTAAATAAAAATTATATTTAATGACAGTTAAGTATTTTTGATGAAAATTCTGATTCTGAAAACTAATGTGTAGTGCTTTGATAATTTTGAAAATGAATACAAAATAATATCCAAATAACATTTATTAAGGAAAAAAAAGAGAGATTAAAGAGATAACAAAAATAAATACAAACATGTAAAAACAAATAATATATACAAATACTAGTAAAAACGTAAAAACAAACATATTGTATTCGTGAGTATTTTGACAAAGTTGTTTTTTTAAATAACTATTCTTACTTTTTGGAGAAGCAAAAAACGAATAAATAATATTTTAAAAATATAAAAAAATACAAAATATATATAAGTTTTCAAGTTACAATTATAATATGAAATAGCAATGGCATTATAGAAATTAAATAATTTACTGATTTTAAAATGATTCACAGAATAGTATTAAAAAATTGTGAAAACTTTATCTTCTTCAAAAAATTAAAATAATTAATATTTATTAAAAAAATATCTATTTTGTTTTTAAGGCAAATGCTTTATTTCAAGTAGAATCAATAGAACCTTAGTTTATTACTTTAATATATTTTAACTACTTTTGTTCAAATTTTTCTTCAAAATTTTTTTTAACTTTAATATATTTTAACTATTGTTGTTCAAATTTTTCTTTAAATCGTTTTTGTTTTATATGACACTACATTTAAAAAATCAAAATATCCTATTTTTCCGTTTTTAAACTCGGCAATTCTTTCGTTAATAAACAGTTCTTTTTTTGATATTTTTCGAGGTCCACTAGTCTCGGCAGTGTTTATTCTAATATAGGTATCACTTTGTATTAAATTAAGGTTTTTGACAAAAATAAAGATGTTAGGGTTTGTTGCTCCAAAAAATGAACTAAACCTCTCACAAGAATTAGTTGTTCGCCACAGATCAGAATAGTCAGCTGCCCACATGGAAGGAGGATACGGCGTGTTTTCATCTACGTCGACGTAGTTTTTTGCTAAATAATCAGCAAATTCCATCACTTCTGAAGTCAGATTCCCAATTAATAAAAAAATGCCACTTCGACATCTTCTGGGCTTAAATATGTAAGACCAAAACAATAGCGCAACCATCTTCCAGTCGGAGAATCTCGCTCTTCGTAGTGCCTACTAAGACCTAATTGTTGTATTTTTCTCCACCTGAAAAAGATCACTCTTGTAGTATTATGAATTTGAAATAAATAATAAACAAATAAAAAAAGTGCAATGTTAAAAAATGCAAATACAAATTAAAGAGCATGCACTAAATTATTCTTAAGTAGATGTTTTAAACTTAATACTACATTGAAATAATAATAGTAATTCATTTTAAAAGTTTTAATGTGTGCTAAATATGAAAGAGGGACAAGTGTTTATTATGATTTTTGCAATTTGTAGCTCATTAAAATTAAACAGTTCAAAAAATCAGTATTTTTAAGACTTAAAATGCTACTTAGGGTTTGTTGTGCACTCCAATTTGTCATATATATCATAACGATATTTCATTTTCATTGCTTATTTTTTCGAGGAATGTAATTTTTCTACGATTTTTGGGATATTTGTATTATTTATTTATTAAAAAAAAAAAAANTTAAAAAAAAAGCACGAAATCTACATCTGGTTTTTTCAACAAAGTCATAAGTAAACTGGGTGGTGAAAATCAGAGTAAGAGTTTATAACTATTTGTTTAATTAACTTCTGGAGAGATTTGCCTTCGTGGAGGACGTTTAGATGGAGCTAACATGCATTTGCGTTACATAGAGAGGAAGACCACGAGAACCTTCCGCGGCTAGCCTGAAGGCAAGGGGACTCTAACCCCTGATCCGTCTACCACTGAGGATATTTCACGTCAGCGCTGTGATCAGTGCAAACCGGATGCGGAATTCGTATCCGCTGGGATTCGAACCCGGTTCGCCTTAATGGAAGGCAAACGCTCTATCCACGGAGCCATCGCGGCTCATTTTAAGCGTATTGGACAAACTTTGAAATTAATGTATATAATGTAAAATAAATAAATAAATATACACTTACCATGCTTGAGCTAAATGAAAGCGACAACCGATAATTTTAGTTCCAGGAAAAGTGTCTCTTATACTTTCTTGTATCCCTCTCTCAAAGTCAGAAACGATGGTTTTGGGAGAAAATCGTAACCCTCTTTTATCACATTCAGACACCAAGCACTTGAACGTGTGGGCATAACTATCCTTTCGTTTGTCTTTTAGTAAGCAAAACACAAACGGTATGTAATTCTCTTAGTAATACCCGTGGACAGTAAACATTTGAATAAAAAATTTCGGAGCTGTATCAAAAGTTCCATCCACGAGTATTACTTCACATTGACACATGCATTGCAGATTTGAAAGGCAGGAAAACATAACTATACCTGCATCTTTCACGTTTTTCAAGAAAAATGTTTTTCCTTTAACTGTGCTAACGTTTATTTTCTCCAGGACATCTTGTGTTCCGAGTAAATCTTTTGGGATTTTTGGCAACACTGATAATCAGTAGTAATATTATCAGTGTTGTAATGAGTTAGTAATGTTATTTCTTATTAATTTTAAATCACATCTTGTTAGGACGTCAGCAGCACTTGGCAGTGTCTCCATGGCCGAAAAAATTAGCTTGGCAGGCTTTTCGTGAATTTTTTTACNGGAATTCGTATCCGCTGGGATTCGAACCCGGTTCGCCTTAATGGAAGGCAAACGCTCTATCCCCGGAGTCATCGCGGCTCATTTTAAGCGTATTGGACAAACTTTGAAATTAATGTATATAATGTAAACTAAATAAATAAATATACACTTACCATGCCTGAGCTAAATGAAAGCGACAGCCGATAATTTTAGTTCCAGGAAAGGTGTCTCTTATACTTTCTTGTATCCTTCTCTCAAAGTCAGAAACGATGGTTTTGGGAGAAAATCGTAACCCTCTTTTATCACACTCAGACACTAAGCACTTGAACGTGTGGACATAACTGTCCTTTCGTTTGTCTTTTAGTAAGCAAAACACAAACGGTATGTAATTCTCTTTGTAATACCCGTGGACAGTAAACATTTGAATAAAAAATTTCGGAGCTGTATCAAAAGTTCCATTACTTCACATTGACACATGCATTGCAGATTTGAAAGGCAGGAAAACATAACTATGCCTGCATCTTTCACGTTTTTCAATAAAAATGTTTCTCCTTTAACTGTGCTAACGTTTATTTTCTCCAGGACATCTTGTGTTCCGAGTAAATCTTTTGGCATTTTTGGAAACACTGATAATCTGGAGTTAGTAATGTTATTTCTTATTAATTTTAAATCACATCTTGTTAGGACGTCAGCAGCACTTGGCAGTGTCTCCATGGCCGAAAAAATTAGCTTGGCAGGCTTTTTCGTGAATTTTTTTACTTTCCATTTTAATCTGATTTGACAGAATCTTTCTCTGCAACACACGCTCAGTCAAAGGATCATGGTTATGATTAGTTCGTATTCTCGAAAAAGTTGCTCCATTTCCGAAAGCATATAACTTTGCGTTACAATTCTTATTTACGCATCGCCAAAGTTCTTCTCCCGAAGATTTATGAGCATAGGCGAACCTATAGCGATAATTCTGGTGCAGAATAAGTACTTTACCATTTTCGCTATATATTTTTTTCATATCAAACTGCTTTCGTAAAATCATGTTCAACAAAAATAACAATCAGCCACCAAAACCATATAAATGTTGTAAATGGCTCGTTTCCTAATTGGACCCCTTTACTGTGTCTTGGACAATGCTTGACCTTCAGAAAACATTGCCTGTAGCAGTAGGACTGGCAACTAAAGGTCAAGCAATGTCTCATTCTTTTTTCTGTAGTATGGATTGCAGAGTTGTTACGGGAATTCCTTGCAATTGAGCGAATGCTACTTTTGTTCCATGAAATTCATTAAACTGCTTAACAATTTCGGCTTTCTCAGCAACAGAAAAGTTTTTGCTATTTTTGCTCACCATTTTCGTACGAAAGGGTTTGAAATGCGACCACCTTGTGCTAAATAACAACAGAGTCTGAAAAGTTGGAGAAACGTAAAGATCCCCTTTGCTTGTAAAAAAAAAAAAAAATCCGACTCAACTTGAATTTGCCGACTGGATGATATCGCTGGGGGTGAGGCACCCCTCTCACCCCCCCCCCCGTTGAGGACGGGCCTGATGCTAGGTAGTGGAGGAATAGTATTCCTCTGTATATCCAAATTTCCGTTATGAAGAATCCAGCCATGGTCTGTAGGACTTGGTGCTTTAATGTAATTTTCAAATTGTTGTTTAAGTGTCATTGAAATATTGTAACGCTGTGTTGACTGATTTTCCTATTCTGAAACCAAATTGGTTGGGAGTTAAAAAGTTGTTATTTTCTATATGAAATGAAATTCGTTTTGTAATAATTCTCTCTAGTAGTTTTCCCAAATTTGGTAAAAGTGTTATTGGTCTATATGAATTTGTGTTTTTTGGATCTTTTCCGGGTTTTAAGAAAAGAATGAGTTGGCTAAATTTGAAAAAGTCCGGAAATGTTGATAGTCTAAAACATGTATTGAAGTAGTATAAAAAAATTTATGAAAGTGGTGAATTAAATTTTTAATGATAGTATTGTCTATACCGTCGATTCCTGGTGCTTTGCTATTGTATGTTTTGCTGTTGTATTTAGGAGTTCTTGTTTTGTTATTAGGGGATCATGTGTTCTATTTTTGAAAAAATGTGAAGTTTGTGTAATAATGTTATTATCTGGAAAAATACTGTTCACATAATTAAGGGTATAATAATTGTTTGTAGTTATTTGTGTTAAGGATTGTGTGAAAAGTGGCTAGATGAGGATTTTGTCTGAATGCATGTTTGTAATGTGTTGCATATATGTTTTTGTGTTTTTACACAGTTCTTTCCATGAATTAAATTTTTCCCTCTTGACCTGTTTTCTAAAAATTGCTCTTTCCCTTTTGAGTTTTGTTATGAATATAGATTTGGTTTGTATGTCTTCTGTTTTGCGTATTCTCTTCTTTATTGCTTGGAGTTTGTTTTTCTGTATCTGGAGATTTGGTGTCCACCAGGTGATCATTTTGTTCTTGTTGACGAAGTTTTTAATTTTGTATGTTTTTTTACAAACCTTAAAGATGGTGTTTATAAGGTTTAAAGTGAATTCATTTAGATCATTTGGATTTTTTATTCTTTTTAAGGAGGTTGAAAGTGAATCTAAGTCTTCATTAAAATATCTTTTTAATTTATTGTGGTTCCCAAATTTGGTTTTGAATCTTGTGTTACTATTAATTGAGGAATAGCTATTTATTTTGTTTGAGATGTATTTGGTATTTGTGGTCCGAGTTTGTGAAGTTATCAAGGACATACCAGTCTAAAAGACTGTGAAGATTAATTGAGTTTGTGATTGTTAGATCTGGCCAACCTTTCAGTGTTGTGGTTTCAAAAGTTGGTGGAGCACCATTTTTATTAATTAGATGTAGGTTGTTAGTGTTTAGAAAATCTAGTAATGTTTCTCCTCTTTCCTCGTTGTTGTTATAGCCCCATAAAGTGTGATGGGCGTTTATGTCTGTGAAAAAAATTAAGTCAGAATTTTCTGAAAATTTGTTGGTTAAAGATTGAATTTCTGTGAGAATATTTTTTATATTATCTTGAGGAGAGCTTATAGGAAGAATTGAGTAGTAGGGGCCTTGAATTTGTTGAATTAATTGAATTGAGAGATTGTCTGATAAGTAAGGGATTTAATGTTCTGTTTATTAAGAAGATTTCTGATTTGTTATTGTTTGAGTTAAAAAGGATCCAGTTTGATGGGAAACCTAGAATATTATTCTTTGGACAATATGGTTCCTGATAGCAGACCACGCTCACTGGAATATCACTTACCGTTTTCTGTGGCAAGTGCATTGCATCTCTGTAGATTTATTTGTATAATTTTGATTTCTGGGATTTCGTAAGTATTTGAAAAATGATTTGAGATGTTTAAATTTTGTGAATCCATTGAGAGTGTGAGTTGGTTAATTTATAGTTGTTGTGTTAAAAATTCCCTTTCCCTGAAATGACATTGATATTATGTTGAAATTTAAACATTTGAGAAGATGAACAAAATACAAGCATTGAATCAATTAAAAAGCAAAAGAAGGAAAATAAAATAATTAGATCAAAGAATCCTCTTTTCCTATCCTTAAAACTTGTGGTTAAAAACTAATTAACCTTTTTCTCTTTCGTAAATTCCCCCCCCCCCATTCTTTCCTAACTGTTAAGAAAAACCTTTCCTTTAATTCCTCTTCCCTTAAAAATAAAGGAAAGGAAGAAGAGAAGGGGGGGGGCGAATTCAAACTATTGTTAAAATATCTAGTTTGAAAAAATATCAAAATACAAGTCAGTGCCCGCCGGAGCTGGAGATGGGGCTCATAACTGTTTCGAAGAAATGATCAGCAATGAAGAAATGATCAGCAATGAAGAAAATGAAATGGCCGAGAATTTTTCACGTTACGTAGCTATTGACGATAACCTGCAAACATCAGGAGAAAAATCTGATTCTGAAATTGTTACAGACATCAAAAATTCCCATCAAGAAATGGAGGAATCAGACTCAGAAGATGAAATAAACTCATCAGTGCCATCTTCAATGGAAGTCACAAAAGCACTTAATGTATTGCGGAAAGCTTTAGAACAAAGAGGAGGAATATCGGATACTGTAAAAACTTCTATAAACTCTCAAATGATGTTGAAAAGTTAATTTTAAATACTGCAACTCAAGCAACCATTGATCGGTTTTTTGCAAAACTTATGTAAATTGAATCTTGTGTAGTGTTTTACTTTATTAAAATAATTAAATTAGTTAAAATAAAGCATTAATGTGGTCATTATTTCAGCTTTTAAAGTGTGTGCATTTAGAATATAACGTAAAAATTTGTTTTTTTCTTCAAATGTTGAATCGCCTCTTAATAAAATCAGCCGCTTAATAAAATCAAAAGAGCATAAAAACGAAAGTGAATTTAATAAACGGCGGGCACAAAAAGCACAAGAAAAATACAAAAATCGAAAAACCCTTTTCCCCCCCAAAAAAAACTTCCGAACCGTAAAGAAAAACCTTTCCTTTAACCCACTGACGGTTTTTAAATTTTAATTTTGACCTCTTCCAAATGGTTGCAATATCTAGAAACTGCGGTTCCTGAAATAGCAGCTTGCCTTTTCTAAAACCCCTTGATAAACGGTAAGAGATAATTCCTCCCCTCTTACAACGGAAAACGGTGGTTTGAAGGGCCATTTCTCTCCTATTATTTACTTGACAGGTGGGGTGGTTTACTTCTTGAGGTGTAGTAATTATAGACTGTCCGCACTGTTCCACTTGGGTCGACCTAAACTGCGCAAAATTTTCTACCCCCTTCAATCAGTGACATCAATTATCGAACTCTCCTCCTTACCAAAATTCGTCACGGGAGGGAAAAGAAAGTAGGAAGTACATTTGGGTCGACCTTGTTGGAGTGGTTTGTTACTCCTCTGAATACATTAAGTTAACAGAATTAAGTTTCGGTCGTGTGGTGGCAACAGACATTTTCTTTTCAGATAACGTAAGTGACGTCATCCGTGCATATAATTATGGAATCTCTATATAATGCATGCATTGTTGTAAGCATGGAATCAGTCGACTTCTTGTCTTTTCTCTTCACTATGTCACGTCACTGTGTTGTTGTTTCCGGTGACGTACCAACATTTTTGTTAAGATATATTTATGTTTAAATATCTTCAGTTGTACGCTGTATCGAGATGGTACTGTATGAAATAAAGAAAAGTTTAAATCTTCAAGTTTCTTTATGTGAGTTAACACTTTCACTCAATACTGTGCTACTCCGCTAACGCATCAACAGACCTGAACTGCGCAAAATTTTCTACCCCCTTCAATCAGGGACATCAATTATCGAACTCTCCTCCTTACCAAAATTCGTCACGGGTGGGAAAAGAAAGTAGGAAGTACATTTGGGTCGACCTGAACTGCGCAAAATTTTCTACCCCCTTCAATCAGTGACATCAATTATCGAACTCTCCTCCTTACCAAAATTCGTCACGGGAGGGAAAAGAAAGTAGGAAGTACATTTCAAAGGGACTAGTTTAAAAGGGTAGCTACAAAATTGGCTGTTTTTCGCCAAAAGATATTCTTTCTCAATATTCTTTCCTTCCTTTCTTTTTTAATTCTTCCGATTCTTCACGAAAGTATGATATTGATAGAATCTTATTTTCATAATTTAGAATCAAAGTTTTTTTTTACAAGCACATATAATAAATAAATAATAAATAAATAAACATTATATTGAGAAATGTTCAATAAATCTGTTTAAATGGGGCAGAATTGGACAGATTTATA